GTTTCTGCTTGTTGGCATTCAAATGAGCATTTTCTTGCTCTGAGTTATCCCAATATTCATTCATTCTGTCTCCTGCTTGGTACATGCCTGCATGAGAATCCTCCATTCCTTTGATTACACTTAATTTCGCAGTGTTTGCTGCAATATCTGTTTCAAGTTCCAGCTGTTCCTTTCTTGCCTTCAAACCAGCTTCCTCCCTTTCCAGTGCTTGCTTCTGAGTCAGCCGAGCAGCTCGTGCTAACAATTCTGCATTTCGACTTTCCAATTTTATTTTAGCAGATGTGATAGAAGACCGAGAAGATCTCCTTGAACTTTGTGAATGAACACTCGTTATGTTTGAAATACTGTCCTGAGGTGCAACACTCATATGTCCTTTTATTTTGGTCTTGACCACATTGGACACAGGAGCATCAGCGATCCAGTTTAAGACCTCCTGAGTAAACTCTTCCAAGGCAGCTGCTTTGGGGTTGTACCATTCATCCTGATCCTTTTCCACCTCTTTCTCCTCCTCTGTGGACATTAAAGCTTGAACAGAATCATTTAACTGTTCCATTTCCTTGTGTAGTTGTGTAAACTCATTTTCCATTTTCGACTTAACCAGTTCCACATTGCAGACATTTTCCATTAATTGTCTGATTTCATTTCTTTTCCTTGTCAATGCACCCAATTTTGCACTCCTTGATAATTTCAGTCGTTTGAGCCTTTCCATATACACACAGTCAATGTCACTTTCCAAGCTTTCCAAGTCTGCCATTTTTGTTCAAGACGACACATTTATTCCTTTTGAATTTTACTTCATTGTTTATGGACTTTCATTGTCTTGCCTTGATTTCCATTGCGTTTTGTACCGTTTGCCGCGAGTTGAGACGTTTCCAACAGTCCTTGAACGCTCCACAGCAGTGACGCGTTACATACGTAGTTGGAGGAGGAGTGATTGTTGCCTTCAGTCATTCACATTTCACACACCGTCGATCCAGGAAGTAGAAGCCGTAGTAAAACGAAGGCGAGTGTTTCACACACTGTTATGAGTTCTGAGTTCTTGTTTTCAAAACAAATATTTCCACGGACCAGCGCTCATCAAGCTGGGTTTTTTGACGAATATAAGAGCCATCTTTCCACCTTTAAGCTCTTTTCTGCTCTTTGGTTTTAGCGCCTGGCCGACGCGCTCACACATCACTCAGAGATATATTGTTCGTTTTTGGTACATTTATTTCCATGTTCGTTCTCTTCTTCAAACACAAATGAAGGTATCTTACCAGACGATATTGAAACAGTTTTCTTCACTTAAATAAACAAATCATATCTTCTCTGCAGTGCAATGCAGCGGTCAAAAAACCGTGTGGCTTCACAACCAAAATAGCACCCAGAGTGTAATCAGCAGGACTCTTTTAACCAGCTGAGGCAATCGCAGCACCAATCAGCCGCTCCGCTCCACCGTGGCTGCGGATCCCAATCAAATGACACCAAACAATTATACTCCATTACATACATTAAATGATTAAATAATAGAAATAATAAATCAACGTTTTTGGCTCCTACACCACGCAATATAAATACCATCATTACACACTCTCTGCTATATAACATATATGATTATTATTAATAATGTTCTATAATCACGTGCAATTACGCATCGTTTTGCTCTACTAAATACTGCTGGTCACTTACAGTATTTTACATTGTGTGCCCGTCTATGTTTCCCGTAGTTAAGGACTATAATGACCGTTGCTAAGGAGGATCAAGAGAGAGAAAAAGCCGTTTTTTTTCTTCTTAGTGGAATAAATATGATCATTTTTGAGTTAATAAAATAGCACGGCACCCAGACCCCACGCAGCATTCTCATCTGTTTGTCATTACTGGTGTCATTTTCTAGTTGCTAACAAACGCCATAACATAAACACTGATGTTCTGCTATAACGGTGGTTGACTAATCAGAGTGGGCGAGCTGACCAATCACAGTGGGCTCACAGGGAGGGGGGGGGGGGGGCAGGAGCTCCAACAAGGCGTGTAGGACAGAGAGAATACACATATACAGAGATGCTGTATGAGAAACCAATGTGAGTGTGGAACATTGAACAATGTAAATCTATTCTAGTAGACCTCAACAATGGAATTATGATCAGTAGAAATGGCCAAAACATGGGACCTTTAAAGTGAATATCTGTGGACTTTTAAAAGCACCTCGTTGGACTCGGAGAAACTGGGATGCACGTTTCAAAATGTTCTGATATTTTAAATATGAATGTAGAAAAAGATCGATGATGAAAACAGTTGTTAGAGGCAGCATTAATCTGCTTATATTCCATATTAAAGGACTGAAGGGAGGATCTAGAACACCTGATGGACTGCTGGTGGATTTCACTCTGATGATTGGAGTTAATCAAATGTGCTGCCGTCGACTGAACGTCTGTTTGATGTCTGCTTCCTGTTTCAGCCTGCAGACTTCCTGGAGGAGCTGTGAGCTTCTGACGAAGCACGGTGGGCATGATGGTGCATCACTTCCTCCGCCTCTCTTCTCACCCTGATGCCCCCATCACTCTGGAACAGGGTCAATCTGGATCCATGATGCCCCCATCACTCTGGAACAGGGTCAATCTGGATCCCTGATGCCCCCATCACTCTGGAACAGGGTCAATCTGGATCCCTGATGCCCCCATCACTCTGGAACAGGGTCAATCTGGATCCCTGATGCCCCCATCACTCTGGAACAGGGTCAATCTGGATCCCTGATGCCCCCATCACTCTGGAACAGGGTCAATCTGGATCCCTGATGCCCCCATCACTCTGGAACAGGGTCAATCTGGATCCCTGATGCCCCCATCACTCTGGAACAGGGTCAATCTGGATCCATGATGCCCCCATCACTCTGGAACAGGGTCACTCTGGAACAGGGTCAATCTGGATCCCTGATGCCCCCATCACTCTGGAACAGGGTCAATCTGGATCCCTGATGCCCCCATCACTCTGGAACAGGGTCAATCTGGATCCCTGATGCCCCCATCACTCTGGAACAGGGTCAATATGGATCCATGATGCCCCCATCACTCTGGAACAGGGTCAATCTGGATCCCTGATGCCCCCATCACTCTGGAACAGGGTCAATCTGGATCCCTGATGCCCCCATCACTCTGGAACAGGGTCAATCTGGATCCATTGATGTGGTTTGAATGCGTTGGACAGTTCTTAACCTTTAGTCGTTTCAGCAGCTTAGTGGTGTTCTTTGCTTGATGCAGGCCGATCATTTGACCCTTCTGAAACAGATCCTTTCCACGACCACAGGATATGTCTTCAGACCTGGTGGAGAAATGAGAAGCTACTCACCACATCAGCTAGGGTTAAATAACTGAGACATATCACTGCAGTAAGTATCCAATGGGAGGCTCTCACTGATTGGTTAAATCCAGGTGGATATCCAGTGTTTATCCAGGCTGTGTGTGAGAGCAGCTGCTGTCTCTATACTTCACTGTCAACTCTAAATGCTTTTCCTGCTTCAGTTATTAGCTTCAGTTCTTTACCATGTTTGATGAGTCTTAGGTTTTAATGATAAATATGAAGAGCTTAGAGGATTTAAATATACATCTTGTTCTGTGTGGGCATCCTTTGTAAGACATACACAGTAATATCTACAAGAACATGGATGTTAAATCTCTGATTCAGCAGCAGTAACTGTGGTAGGACTTGCTTGAAGTGAATATATCTGCTCCTTGTTGTTCGGAGTTTGATTCTTTATGGTGAAACAGATGAATACTCACTGGTCGGTTTAGTAAAGGATGGTTTGGTTCGTTGGATTAGCCGCCCTTCTTTCACACAGTGGATGAAACAGCTGTTGTTTAGTGTGACTTCTGTGAATCAGATCAACTGAAGCGGGGCTCGTTAACATTTCAATCATCCATCACCACCTCGCTAAAGTGGATCAATGACGCCCAGCTTTGCAGAACATCAGTGAACAGGATTACATCTCAGTGCCCGTTCTCTGTAAGGGTTTCCTTTTTAGTTTTTCAATAAAATAATACAATTACATGGAGTTTGTTGATTTATTATTATATTGGAAGAAGCAGTGCAGACTGTAGGGGACCTGGGACGTTTATAGGACAAAGATTTATTGGACCAATTCATGGATTCATGAGCTGAGAAAGATGTTTTACGTCAACGTTGGAGCAGGGAGATGCTGCCTTCAGGGACCAACACAGAAATACGACATTCCTGCACCCCTCACTGTTAGCACTAAAATATCCAATGCTGCTTCTCGAGTTAAATTTCAAGAAGATTAAATGTTAACAGAAAAGTTCACTTATATTTGTACATTTCCTTTATGCCGTCTACGTGTATGCAATACCAAGAGTAGACCAGCAGATGTCCCCATTCAGACTCAATGCAATCATTCAAGATTCAAGGGTTATATTATCATGTGCACAGCAGCTACAGTGTAGTTATGGTAATGAACATCTTAGGTCCCGAGCTCCTCCAACAGTGCAACATATTATATAAAGGACATGAGAGAAAAAATACAGTAATAACACAAAAATAAAAACAGTGCAATGAAACAGAGCACGATAGATTTGAATAGAAATAGTGCAGGTGAAAGAACAGTCAGGTTAAAAGACATCCAAAGCATGGACTTGGTTTCGTTGTACTTTGGGAAAAAAGGTTGTTCACTATTGCCACGTAGGTTTAATTCACCATCTAAGAATATTATACTTACAGTCCCCAACAGGTACAGGTCTTTGCAGTTTGATCACACAAAACAAACAGAACTCCCAATCGCACGCCGAGGTACCAAATGCCCCAAAATCCCAAATCTGACCCAGAAGTCAGTACAAATGGTAAAATAAGAACAAGCCCGGGTAGCTGCTCTCAGGAGGAAGTCCAGGAGAAAGGGGAGAAGGAAAGTAGCCTTTGCTCAGAATCTGTGTTACCTTCAAGGACAAGGGGAAATAGTTAGAGGTAACAAAACACAGGACTAGACTTCAACTGTCACACACACTCCACGAGGTTTTGCTTCAGATCGAGTGGAGCTCTTCGTAAAGATACGGGTCCAGCTCACGGAGAGCATTGATCAGAACCCTGCTGGCTGCAGCTCCTTTATTTCGCACCGCATCCACCACCTCTCGGGCTCCGTCCACTTTGAGTTTGTTTCTGGCTGAATCCATTTCAGATTCACTGATCACTTCAGACTGAAAGAGTTTATCCAGAAGGACATTCAGCACAGTTTGAGTCACTCTTTGAACGAACTCTGCCCGAACTGAGAACAGCCACTGGACTCTGCTCTCTGCTGGGACTCTGTTCTCTGCTGGGACTCTGCTCTCTGCTGGGACTCTGCTCTCTGCTGGGACTCTGCTCTCTGCTGGGACTCTGCTCTCTGCTGGGACTCTGCTCTCTGCTGGGACTCTGCTCTCTGCTGGGTCTCTGCTCTCTGCTGGGTCTCTGCTCTCTGCTGGGACTCTGCTCTCTGCTGGGACTCTGCTCTCTGCTGGGTCTCTGCTCTCTGCTGGGTCTCTGCTCTCTGCTGGGACTCTGCTCTCTGCTGGGTCTCTGCTCTCTGCTGGGTCTCTGCTCTCTGCTGGGTCTCTGCTCTCTGCTGGGACTCTGCTCTCTGCTGGGACTCTGCTCTCTGCTGGGACTCTGCTCTCTGCTGGGACTCTGCTCTCTGCTGGGACTCTGCTCTCTGCTGGGACTCTGCTCTCTGCTGGGTCTCTGCTCTCTGCTGGGTCTCTGCTCTCTGCTGCGACTCTGCTCTCTGCTGGTACATTTCTTTGGGACAATGCATGTCTTGGAACTGGTAGACAAACAGGGAAAATACTTTTGTTAACCAACAATCACATTAAACAGATCTCTTAAACATTAAAGTAACTCAGCATTCCCAGAGGTGGATTTCTGTTCACTTAAAGTTATAATATGTAACATTTCCTCATTAAAATGTATAAAAACTCCTACACCGATGTTATTCATGTTTTGTTGAGTTGTGTACAAACATTATCCCAAATGGTTCAAAGAGACGTGTAATTTTAATCAAGGTAACAGTACGTTCATCACGGTCTCCTGTAATGACGGTGTATCCACTTAACCATGAGAAGCTGAAGACTACAACTCCCATGATGCCACACTGTTTCACCACCACACTAGTTTTTACTATGGTTTTAGAATATAACAGGTTGTGTGTTTAATGTCGTAATGATGCGCTGCCATGGAGCCTTAATAGAGGATGCTATGAGATGGATCTTTAGAGTTATCCAGTCTATCACTGGGTCTGAGCTCAGGTGGAGTCTTTACCTTCCAGTGGCACGCGATATTTCCAGACTACGTTTCCATCTTGGTCCTTGACCTTCAAAAACACTCTCTCTGTGCTCGTCGTCAGGGACACTTGAAATGTCGGATGGTAATTTGGTCCAAAACTTGATTCAAATCTTTTACTCTGAAAACCAGAAGCAGAAGTTAAATGTTTATCTGTTTCTTTCCTGATTGTGGATCCACATGCAGATACATGTGTGTTAATGATCATTGTGTTTCTCTAGAGGAGTATCAGTGACTCACCTCAGGCTGAATGAAGAAGCCCTCAGGTTCACAGTGCACACTGTAACTGTGATGAATGTCCAGCTTACAGTCGGAGGCGATTGGGATGTTCACAGCACAGCTGTGTTGATCAGCAACCTTCAGTAACAGAGTAACTTTAGTTATGCTCAGATAGTCAACTTTATTTAAAGATCACATTAAACAACAACAAACGTTGACAGACCTGCTCCACAAAGTGATGAGATATACAATCAATCACAACATAATTATAAGTATATATTGCCTTTGTAAAGGAATATTCTAAATAGATTATTTTAATTCTTTGAGATGAGCTATTGAAGAAGCTATTCCAATAATAACCAAAACACAAACCGTCTGTGTCAGTTACACAACACAAAAGGCGGCTGCCCAAGCTGTAAAATGTGGCTGGTAGGGATGAGATCACGTTGTCTTGGCAGTGATTCATCTCAGCAGGTCTTTCAGTTCTGTGTGATGTGTTTACCATTCATGCCATCAGTTTCCGCAGACAGAAAGACATGCTGAGAGAGAATCATACAAAACCACAAAGAGAGATCTGAAGATTTACAGTTCAGATAGATCTTACTCTTCTCCCAGCACAAGAAGGTTTGAGAAGAGGAGCAGTTGTTTAGTCTGATGGTGAGCACATTACCTTCTCCACAAGGACGTTTTTCTGCAGCAGATGTACATCCAGTGTTTGCTCCTCTCTGCCCGGGGGTCGTAGGAACACCAGAATTTGACCCTTTATCCGCTTCTTTAAAAGCCTTTTCAATCGATCGATGGTAAGGCCAAATTTAGAGAGGTGAGGGACCTTCACCACCACGTGAGTGCGTGTGACCTCCAGCGGCTCCAAGATGCTCAGGCCTTCATCAGTGATGTGGACGACAGACAACAGGCCGTCCAGGAGCAGCGCTGTGGAGCAAAGAGCTGGTCATCTGTTGCTTTGCTGCTGAAACAGCTTCATCATATTCAATGTCTCACCACTTTAGTTCAGAGCTAATGTTCATCTAATGTCATTCACTTTGGAGCCTCACTAGGATGCTCCAGTTTATATCCTCCACCTTTTATTCTAATGTTTCATTATTGATCTGCCCCCTGTGATCTTTCTGGATGTGAGCATTTACTGTTATGCATAAACTTTATTCATTATTTTCTAATCTTCAAGACTGCTGAGATGTTTGTAATCTGCTGTCAGAACAGCTTGACTGAGTCCGCTCTCATGTCTGAGTGACTCTCTAGATGTGTGAAGAGTTCTCTAAAGCTTTCAGGGCGTAGAAAGTCTAACGTATAAATGTTGTTGTCTGTTGTTTTGTTTTGTTCATGGTTCAGCCAGACTGACAATGTAAAGAGCAGAAAGAGCAACAGATGGATAACAAAGTAAGAATGATTCAAACTGCTAGCTTAGCATCACAACAGTAACAGAGAGTTAGCGTTGAGTTAGCACTGTTAGCAGCTGAGCATGCTGTGGACTGACCAATCACAGTATACATCTCTTTAATATTACAGTGAGGAGACTGCAGAGGGCCCAAAGACAATCCAACTCAGTATTTAGAGCTGCATTGCATCGTCTGCTTCAATAATGATCAATGATGTCATGAAACACATCGACTAAATGGATGTTTTATAATCTCATTTTCTTCTTTTGGGGACACAACTATTTGAATGTAAAGAATACATTTGGTGTCTGAATTATACTGTTGTTATCTTTGTTAAACTAGTTTAATAAAGCTGCTTCATAACCTTTGAACAGTAGTGGATGGTATAAGGTGCTAATCATTATATAAGTGTGTATTTGTTAACACTAGATGTCTTTACCTTCCTCTGTCTCACTGTGTGGCAGGTGGAGCTGGACGACGGCAGCTTCAACAGAACTCTTCACGTCGAACAGCGGCCCTGCTGCCATCTTGCCAGCTGATTGGATGAGGCTCTCCTCCCAAGGGACCGTCCTGTACAGAAGCTCCGCCTCCTGAGCCATAACGAACACCAGGCCAGTCGAAGCACACTGGAACCCACCTGGACCAGGACACCTGAACCTGTAGACACACGGGGGACAAGTTACTACAACAAGCCTTCACTGGCCTGTGTTCTGACTGACAGGTGTTCATCCAGCTGGAGTCTGACCTGGAGGAGGGTTTGTTGAAAGATCTGAAACACCTGATGATTACAGGAACATCACTGAAGATGTGTCCACATGCATCAGAATGTGTGTGCATGTGTGCAAAAACAAAAACAATCCTATATACAGAGGCATTATTTTATGTATGTCTGTTAGAAAGAGATTGGATGCAATACGTCATGGTGAAAGACATGAAATTAAACACAATAAAATAAATATATATTTTGAATGTGTTTAAATAATGTTTGGTCATGTTATAGCATTACCTGTATTTAGATCCAGTTGTGTTTTCAGGTGAGAAGGATTCAGGAGCCTGGAACAAACAAAGTTATTTATTTATTATTTGAAAAATGCAAATTTGTCTGGATCATTGAGTTCATTGTCAATTTCAAATGGTCAAAACACAGTATTACCAGCCAATCACAGCACAGTATTACCAGCCAATCATAGCATAGTATTACCAGCCAATCATAGAACACAAGTATCAGCCAATCACAGAACAGAAGTACTAGCCAGTAGGAATATTTCCCATTTCGTCGGGGATCCAGATATTTTAAATTGCATCGTCATATACATTTATTGAATCAACTTGGTGATATGTAATCCTCTAAGGCACACCTCCCATTAAAAAAAAGAAACAAATCTAATTAAATAAAAATATTCTTAACTCATAATCGAATACCTGAATCATTTTGATCAATTGTGAGCGTTATAGCGTTTAACTTGACAGCCCTAACAATTATATTTTAATTCAGTGGTGAAATAAATACACTTCTCTCTGTTCGACTGCTCCTCTCTCACCTTTCTGTCTGTCTTCACTTCCTGTTCCACATCGGAGTCACCTGATGGAGAGAAGAGGTGACAGAAATATTAATTAAACTTGAACAAAGAGAAACATTAGCAGCCAAAATGATTGAATAGAGCTGTAACAAAATATATTGTTGTGTACTATAAAGACCTTTTAAGATCAGATGTAATTTACAATATCTTGATGAATGGAGGATATGGTTTCAGTACTCACAGGTCTTGGCTCTGATCGTCTCACCATTGATCCTGTAGGGATGAACACAATCCAACAGTTATAGATCCAGTTTAAAATAAGTGTTTGTTCTTTGAGTCAGCTTCAGAGTCCTGACTGATCTCATGCTTTACATCCCATCATATCTTCTCTGCAAACACTACGACTGACTGCCACAGCTCTCAGCTGCATTACAGGAAGTAACCAGTCATTAGAAACTAAAAACATCACATACAGACCTTTTCCACTCTTCTGTAAAATCCCATATGTCTGTTAGAAAGTTGATTATTAAAGTTCGGCTTTGCATTTTCAGCTGGCCTTCTATAGTTTGTGGAAGAATGAAAGAGCCTGCAGTCAGTGGGTAACATCACTGATCTGTTGTGATTCCCCAGTGAGAGAAACACCTCCTTGTGTTTAATACAATACTGCTGAACCAGCAGAGACCCCTTACTGACCAGAGAGTCTCCAGTCTGCAGTCTGGCTTCTCCAGAAGATCTCTCAGCAGCTTCACTCCTGAATCCTTCAGATCGTTGAGACTCAGGTCCAGATCTCTCAGATGGGAGGGGTTGGACTTCAGAGCTGAGGCCAGAGCAGAACAGCTGATCTCTGACAACCTGCAGCTCTCCAGTCTGAATAAAGAAAACATAATGAGGATAAAAATCAGTTTATAATCCAATCAGATGGTCAGGTCTGAAATGTGTAGCTCAACATTACTGCGTCCTAATCAATGATCTTTTCCCTGAATTACAGTGACTGTCATTCTGTTATTGTGGATCATCATTATATCAGCCTTCTGTTTATTATCTGTGAAAATACGTCTAAATGATGGGAACATAAACATTTCTATGTCAGAAAGTAAACTTTACGTAAAACTAATATTGGTTCCGAGGGCCTTTTTTATTCAGACCATTTACTAAAGAAAACATACATTTACTTTAACAAATAACAGTTGAAGAATAATAGTTTCTTTAGGAAACAATCAACTGTTACGACAACATTTACAAAAGTATGGATGAAATATATGTATGATGAAGAATTAGGTTGAATAACTAATGAAACATGAGATCTCCAGCAGTAACAGAGAGTCAGTGAACTGACCTGAGAGTCTCCAGTCTGCAGTCTGGACTCTCCAGAAGATCTCTCAGCAGCTTCACTCCTGAATCCTGCATATTGTTGTAACTTAGGTCCAGATCTCTCAGATGGGAGGGGTTGGACTTCAGAGCTGAGATCAGAGCTGAGCAGCTGATCTCTGACAACCAGCAGTACATCAGTCTGAATAAGGAAAACATGATGTAAGTTTCGAAAACAATGTTCCTGTTTTAAATAACTCCACGTTTAATAATGTGATCAGAGCTGAAGAAGTTTAGAAAGTGGAAACTACAAACAGGTTAAAAACTGTAAGACAGAATAAGTGAAATCGAGCTGATAGTCCGTGTTTTTTTGTTTCAATAGTTTTATTTGTTAAACCAGTGAACAGAGAGGAGACTGCAGGCTCTTTAGTTTCTGCTCTTAGTCTTACTAAATGATCAAATTATCTTTGGGGAGAGGGAAGGGACTCTCAGAAGATAATGAAGAACTAAAGCCCTCGCTCAATAACGTGTGGGGGAGGCTTTATAAAGAATGACATCATCAAGGCATGTATATTAATATTTCATTGAGAAATGTCAGCCTACATAACCATGAGGCGCTGTCTGTAGTGAGGTCTGTGCTGAAGCGTTCCTTTGAATCTGCTGTGGCTCGTTTGAAAGGAAATCCAACCACTGTTAATAACCTATGGCCAGTCAGATTCAGCAGGAGAGTCAGTAAACGTCCGGTCAGCAGAGCGCTGTAGTGCTGTCTCTGCTGTGTAACTACTCTATGTGACAGTGGAAGAGAGACGATGAACACTTCATATTCATAAAGTACTGCCAGTTACATATATTCAAACGTTCCCACCAAACCAACCAGACTTGAATGGACAGTAAGTTCCTGAAGTTAAATCATGCTCCATCTGTTTTATTATTTTTACTCTGAGCGCAGCCGTGTTGCATTCTGGGAGCTTGTTCATCACAGCAGTGGATTTAAGCAGCAGAAAGCCGGCACGTGTACAGCCTCTAACGCGAGCTGCAAACATCGCTCCGGTGCTCGAGCTGCACTTTGATATATACATATTGATCTCAGCACAGAAGTTAATGATGGAGAACTGACCTGAGAGTCTCCAGTCTGCAGTCTGGGCTCTCCAGAAGATCTCTCAGCAGCTCCACTCCTGAATCCTGCAGCCTGTTGTAACTCAGGTCCAGAACTCTCAGATGGGAGGGGTTGGACTTCAGAGCTGAGATCAGAGCAGAACATCTGTTCTCTGACAAACTGCAGCACTCCAGACTGAATAATGAAAACATGATGTAACTTTAGAAAACAATGTTCCCGTTTGAAATAACTCCAGGTTTAATAATCTGTTCAGAGCTGAACAGGGTTTTAATGTCAGTGATGATGTAGAAACATTCCATTGATAATCATGAACTTTAACTTTTATCAGATCTTTAACAACTCTTCATCTCCCTCACAGCTCATCAGTACTGACAGCATACTCACTGACTCATGGAGCACAGAGTGAGTCTGTGGAAGCTCAAACACTCTCCCTCACACATTCACCTTCTCTTTGATATTCTGCTGAATATTCAGTCATTAGCAAAAGTGAGAACAATTATTAAAATGTATTTGTTCTCAGGTAAATTCAGAAAATCATAAACACAAACAGATCTGTATGGACTGCAGTCAGTGAACTGACCTGAGAGTCTCCAGTCTGCAGTTTGGACTCTTTAGTCCAGAACTCAGCAGCTCCACTCCTGAATCCTGCAGAGCGTTGTAACTCAGGTCCAGATCTCTCAGATGGGAGGGGTCAGACTTCAGAGCTGAGGCCACGACTTCACATTCAGTCTCTGAGAGTCCACAGCAAACAAGTCTATAATAACACATATATTACAACATGTGTTAAAAAAGAAGAAACATATTAACCTCAAGAATTTGATGAAAAAGGATTTGACATATGTTCTCATAGACATTTTTTGTTATTCCATGTAATATTATATATAATCATTTATTATAATAGAGTGTAATGTGTTGTCAGTGTGATCTGATCACATGTCTGTGCTCCTGCTGTCACTGACTGTTACCAAAGAAACATAAATTAAATAAATCACTTGACAATATTAGAGATGTACATATTTAAATGTTAATAAATATTTGGATGTGATGGATGAAGGATGTTTTGGGTTCTCTGAGCATCTGGAAATGTATTGCAAACACAAACACAATTAACAAACCAATAAAGTTTCAATATTTTCAACTGAATACCATCAGATGTTCCCAGTATATCAAGTATTTTGCTTGAAATACCAAACAGATCATTTCAGCATTACCCATAATCCCCTCTGTTTCAGCCCTGTCTCCAAAGTGCTGATTCTCTGTCTGTTGCTTTAGATGAAAATAAGGAGCCTCTCCCCACGCCCCTCTGAGAGATATTTGGTTAAAAAGAACTCAATGGTGCTCTAGGAGGAGATTCAGGTGATAAGGTGGGGGAAGGTGGGGTTACCTTGGTTGCTGATTGGATAATGGTTACACAAGCCAAAAAAAAATCGTTATGACATCATAAAGTGCATCCAAAATCTGATCAGCTCATTTTCAGACAGGTTTTTATATAAATGGATCAGGACAAAAAGTGAGAGAATCTTTTTTCCTGAAACTTTCAGAGTCTCTTTACAAAGAGGGGACACATGTTGATGTATAAAAGACACGGAAAAGTGGATTTTGCATAATAGGTCCCCTTTAAGACATAACCCTGTTATCGGTGGGAAATTATATAGATCTTACTTTAAACTCTAATACATTGTGATAAAAACGTGTCTGTTTAATGATAAATAAACTATCAGAAAGTAATAATAACAGCTTTCTCTGATAACTGTAAGTCCTGCTGTGTGGTGTGATCACATGCCGAGTAACCTCTAAAGTCCTTCAAGTGTTTGACATGTCGCCTCCATCACTCAATATGAAGAGAGAAACAGTTCAATCTAACCATTAATACTAGTATTCAAACAGCAGAAATGTTAGTGTTTATTTGAATAATTAAACTTCTGATCCAGTTTAGTTTATAAAGTTAATCACATCTGGACTTACACAGCCTTCCTGCAGTTCCTCACAGCTGGAATCAGTCTCTGTCGTCCCTCATCTCTAAATAAATATATATTTTGAATGTGTTTAAATAATGTTGGGTCATGTTATAGCATTACCTGTATGAAGATCCAGTTGTGTGTTCAGGTGAAAAGGATTCAGGAGCCTGGAACAAACAAAGTTATTTATTTATTATTTGAAAAATGCAAATTAGTCTGGATCATCTGAGTTCATTGTCAATTTCATTGTCAAACAGTATTACCAGCCAATCACAGAACAGTATTACCAGCCAATCACAGCACAATATTACCAGCCAATCACAGAACAATATTACCAGCCAATCACAGAACAGAAGTACCAGCCAATCACAGATAAGAAGTACAAGCCAATCACGGAACAGTATTACCAGCCAATCACAGAACGGAAGTAGGAATATTTCCCATTTCGTCGGGGATCCAGATATTTTAAATGGCATCGTCATACACATTTATTGCATCAACTTGGTGATATGTAATCCTCTAAGGCACACCTCCCATTAAAAAAAAGAAACAAAAGCAAATTAAATAAAAATATTCATAACTCATAATCGAATACCTGAATCATTTTGATCAATTGCGAGCGTTATAGCGTTTAACTTGACAGCCCTAACAATTATATTTTAATTCAGTGGTGAAATAAATACACTTCTCTCTGTTCGACTGCTCCTCTCTCACCTTTCTGTCTGTCTTCACTTCCTGTTCCACATCGGAGTCACCTGATGGAGAGAAGAGGTGACAGAAATAATAATTAAACTTGAACAAAGAGAAACATTAGCAGCCAAAATGATTGAATAGAGCTGTAACAAAATATATTGTTGTGTACTATAAAGACCTTTTAAGATCAGATGTAATTTACAATATCTTGATGAATGGAGGATATGGTTTCAAACTTTCAGTACTCACAGGTCTTCTGGATCTCGGCTCTGATCGTCTCACCATCTCTGATCCTGTAGGGATGAACACAATCCAACAGTTATAGATTCAGTTTAAAATAAGTGTTTGTTCTTTGAGTCAGCTTCAGAGTCCTGACTGATCTCATGCTTTACATCCCATCATATCTTCTCTGCAAACACTACGACTGACTGCCACAGCTCTCAGCTGCATTACAGGAAGTAACCAGTCATTAGAAACTAAAAACATCCCATACAAAAAAGACTACTGTAGAAAAGGCCCCAAAGTTATAGTTACTGATATATATATATATTATTTTATTATACAGAGTTGATACCTGTTAAGTTGTGCCTTCATAGTGGGGAGGGGCTAACCCACCTGTTTTGGGTGACGTCATACATCAGAGGGTAATGTGCGTCAGTAGTTGTAGGAAAGTTATGCCGTCTTAAGTTTCGTATTGTGTGCATAAATGAACACATGAATGTGTTTGTCCACAGTGCTGCTTGTTATGTTGTTCTACACTTTATTATTATTGTGATAACTTCTGTGCCGATGTGGCTTAATGCAGAGTCTCCGTGCTCATGTGATCTGTGCATGCTGCGTGCATATTTATGATGGCTGCTCATTAAGTCACTCGTCAAGTGAGTCAGCACTCCTGTCTCAAAGTTAGGGGTATATACCGTGTTGAGTGGCACAGACCTATTATTAATGTAATAGGATGTAGTTTATGTGGATAAATGTTTATGTGCCGTTAAAGGTGAGATATTATGTGTTTACAGTTCATTTATTGCTCCGCTACTCGGCTACCGGAAGTAGCATGTCTGTAGCGTTTCACAATAAGAGCATCGGCTGCCGCTTTCCGCCAACCGGAAATGGAACGTTATTCATTAGCGGTAGCTTAACTTTGAATCTCTGCGTGTCCCTGGTAAAGAGTGTTTGACATTATATGTTAATGTGTTTATGATTATAAGAGAAGGGAGACATGTTGTATTATAGCTTGTCTAGATTATTATTTCTATAGGGTTTGGCAATATTATTTATGTATGCATAAGTTATCTTATATTGATTGTATTTTGTTTATTTCCCTTATAGGAAAAACCACACACACAAATATCTGTATGTCTGCCTAAATCAGTAAAGAAGTCAAGCCTCATCTTAGCTCCTCATTTCCTCTATTCTGGACCTTTGGCCTTAAGTGGTGTTCTGGCCGACACACCTGGGTGAACCTAGTGATAGACACAAAACTAGTGCCAACACTGAGTTATCACACACTGGTCCTTCGAGCCGGAGATCACAAGGTTTACGTCAGAGATGAAACCATTACCAGGGTATGAGGCTTATGGTGCACGCCCTAGAAGGCAAACCCGCCTTCCAACGCGATATGCAGACTATGATGTGGATCATCTAGGATACATTAGTCAGAGATACCGAGAGGAAGAAGAGACTTCTCATCTGGAGGGTAAGGCCAGGATGACCCCCCTCACCTCCCCCAATGACTCTCCCCCACCAAGGCACCTCAACAGGCGTGATGCTAATTTCCAGGAGATGGACTTTAGCTATGGGGCTGTTCCCAGAGAGAGAGCCGAGGGATCGGTTTCGAGAATACTCTACTCACCTGCCTACATCGCTGCACCACAGACCTCCGCGTGAGGATGACAGAGTAGAGCTAGAGAATATTCGTCAAGAAAGGTTTCTACTTCAGCAGACACAGCGACGTATGTCATCAGATATAGATGAGCTCAAAGCACTGCGAGCAGACATGAGACAGTTGGTGGATACTGTCCGTAACCTTCAGACCCCATCACTACATAGCAACAAGCCAGAGTTAACGGTGATGCAGCCACCGGCACCGTTTGTAGGTGAACCTGATAGTGAGGATGAGGATGATTGGCCTGCACCACCACCATGGCCTGACCCAGTAAGTGGAGAGTTACGGCCTGGCGACTATATAACGCCTCATCACCCCAACGGGAGACCAGATGAGCTTCCACCGAAGGAAGAAGTAGTTCCAGCTCCAGTGACTCAGCCGTCTGTGGGTCAGCAACATGTACAGCACTCAGCACATGGTGCCCTTCCTGCTACGCGGTCAAGGGAGAACTACGCTGATTATTCAACTCCCTGGTACCAGCCTGCTCAGCCGTCACCGCGACCACCCAGTTTGGCTCCAACTGAGCCCAAGTACCAAGTTTATGGCAGTCACAGGAGTGAGCATAGCAGTAACCCAGTTCCCTCACCGCAGCCTCATCCACATAGGTCATGGACACAGCCACTGCCCTCCAGACCTGCCCTCATATCAGAGCCAGGTTACCATGGACCACGCCCAACAATCCGCAACTTCTCAAGTCGAGACCCAAGTGAGTTTGCACGGCTCAAGATCTCCTTGGAGAACCTCCTACCGCCCAGTGCAACAGAGCTGTTCAAGTATCAGGGAGAAGTGGAGCTACAGTGTGGTTCACATGTTGTTCGTCTGCTGAGTAAGCTTGCCGCCTGAACAGAGAGCAGATTTCCGCCGCTGCATGTTCCGTCAGGGCTCAAGAACTCACAACCTTATAGATCTCGCAGAGTGGCTGAAATATGAGTCCTGGTGCCAGGACTCCGAAGGACAGCTAGCTGTGAAGGGATCGTGGGAGTCATCATCCAGACCTGAGGGACGACAGGGCAAGCACCACACCACTGTGCTCCATGGTGCCAAGGACACTTGGAAGAAACCAGACTCTCAAGTTCCAGGTAACTCCTTCAAAGGCAACAAGAGTAAGCCATACTTCAAGGTTCAAGGTTCAAGGTTCTTTATTGTCAATCTGACATAGCTACAGAGTAATTATGCAGTTGAAAATCTTATGTCACAGGCTTCTCCAACAATGCAACATAATAACATAACATAATAACAATAAGAGCATGAGCAATACAAAAATAATAATAGTTATAAAAATGAAATAAAGTTATGATGTGGAATAGTGCAGTATGAGTCTATATACAAGTTATTGGAATGATATATATATATTAGGTATTAGATACATACTACTGAGTAGCAGTTGAATGTTTGATGTTGTTTCAACAGTTCAATTTTTTAACAGTCTCACTGCCCGCGGGAAGAAACTGTCTCCGAATCTTCTTGTCCTTGCCAGGATGCTGCGGTAACGTCTGCCAGACGGCAACAGAAAGAACAGTTTGTGGCTGGGGTGATGGGGGTCTTTGATAATCCGTAGTGATTTCTTCCTGAGCCGCTGGGAGTAAAGGTCCTCCATGGATGGCAGCTCCGTCCTGGTGATGTGCTGTGCAGTTTTCACCACCCTCTGTAAAGCCTTACGATCGAGGTCGGTGCAGCTGCCGTACCAGGCCGTCATGCTGCCAGTGAGGATACTCTCTATCGTGCACCTGTAGAAGTTGCAGAGTATCCTGGAATCCATTTTGAACCTCCTCAAGCTGCGGAGGAAGAAGAGACGCTGTCGAGCTTTCTTGGTGATGGTGGTGGTGTGAAGAGACCATGTCAGGTCCTCAGTGATGTGGACCCCAAGGAACCTGAAGCTTTTGACTCTCTCCACCGTAGTCCCATTGATGGCGATGGGGGCGTGTCCCTCTCCCTGCTGCTTCCTGTAGTCCACAATCAGCTCCTTTGTTTGCTGATGTTGAGATGGAGGTTGTTCTCCTGGCACCAAGATGTCAGGTTTTCGACCTCCTCTCTGTACGCCGTCTCGTCATCGTCTGTGATCTGGCCGATGACGGTCGTGTCATCAGCAAACTTCACGATGGTGTTGGAGCTGTGTGTGGCCACGCAGTCGTGGGTGAACAGGGAGTAGAGGAGAGGGCTGAGCACGCAGCCTTGAGGGGCACCGGTGTTGAGAATCAGGGTGGAGGATGTGATATTTCCCACCCGCACTGCCTGGGGTCTGCCCGTCAGGAAGTTCAGGATCCAGTCACAGAGGGCGCTGTTGAGCCCGAGGTCTCTGAGCTTGATGGCCAGCTTGGAGGGCACAATGGTGTTGAATGCTGAACTGTAGTCAATGAACAGCATTCTCACATATGTGTTCCTGTTCTTCGGGTCCAGGTGTGAGAGGGCAGTGTGGAGGGTGAGGGCTATGGCGTCGTCTGTGGACCTGTTTGCTCTGTAGGCAAACTGCAGGGGGTCCAGAGATTCAGGGAGGGAGGAGGTGATGAATAATTTGACTAACCGCTCAAAGCACTTCATTATGATGGAGGTGAGTGCTACTGGGCGGTAGTCGTTGGGGCAGGTGATGATTTTCTTTTTGGGGACAGGAATGATGGTGGAGTGTTTAAAACATGTGGGGACTACAGACTGCAGCAGGGACCTGTTGAAGATGTCTGTGAACACCTCTGCCAGCTGAACTGCACACACCCCTGAGAACACGGCCAGGGATGCCATCAGGTCCAGGAGCCTTGTGTGGGTTAACCCTTTTAAAGGATTTACACACATCTGCCCTATTTAAAACAAAAGGGCAGTGTAGCTCCTGGTCCCTCTGTACCTCCACAGCCTGGCTGCTCTCAAAGCGTGCAAAAAAACTGTTTAGCTCATCTGGGAGAGATGCGCACGCAGACACTCCCGCAGCACCCCCCGCTGCTCCTTTGTAGTCAGTCATTGTCCTTAGTCCCGCCCACATATTCCTAGTGTTACAGCCTTTGAAGTCAGATTCCACCTTGTCTTTGTACTGTCTCTTTGCATTTTTAATTGCTCTCCGGAGATCATACCTAGACTTCCTGTACTCCTCCAAATCTCCCGCTGTGTGCGCGAGAGTGCGCGCTTTCAGTTTGCCGCGCACCTCACCGTTTACCCAGGGCTTTTGATTTGGGAATGTCCGTACAGAAACCTTCGGTACCACGTCATCGATGCATTTCCCAATGTAGCAGATGACAGTGTCCGTGTGTGTGTTGATGTTATTGTCCTCAAACACACTCCAATCCGTAGATGCAAAGCAATCCTGCAGTGCTGAATCTGACTCCTCGCTCCATCGTTGTACTGTCCTTGTTATCGGTCTGTCCCTTTTAAGTTTCTGCTTGTACGCAGGCAACAACAGTAGTGAGATATGGTCTGATTTGCCGAAGGGAGGGCGAGGGAGAGCCTTATATCCATTCCGGAAAGGGGAATAAACATGGTCCAGTATGTTTCCCCCGCGCGTCGGGAAGTTGATGTGTTGGTAATATTTTGGCAAAACCTTCTTCATGTTGGCGGTGTTGAAATCTCCGGCCACAACGAACGCCGCATCTGGCCGTGAAGTCTCGGTTTTATCAATAAACCCAAACAGCTGATCGAGTGCCGTGTTGTTGTCGGCGAGTGGCTGCGGCGGGATATACACTGCTGTTATCACAACAGATGTGAATTCCCTCGGCAGATGGAAGGCCCGACATGAGATCATGAGGTGCTCTAGCTGTGCGGAACAGTCCGATGAAATAATCTTCACATCTGAGCACCAGTTGTTGTTAGTCATTACACACACACCGCCTCCCTTACTTTTCCCCGAGTTAGCAGTCCGGTCCTGACGAAAAATAGAGAATCCGTCAGGGACAATAGCGGAGTCCGGGATAGCGGGGTTGAGCCAAGTCTCAGTGAGAATTGACACGTTACAGTTCTTAATGTCCCGTTGAAAAGCAATCCGGCTTCTGAGTTCATCTAGCTTATTTTCAATGGATTGAACATTAGCCAGAAGAATACTCGGAAGAGGGGGCCGATTCTCTCGTTTTCTCAGTCTGACCAGCAACCCGGCCCGGCATCCCCGCTTTGTCTTCTTCTTACGTCTCTCAGGTAGAACAGCAACAGGTAGCCATGGTCAATCTCCATTGTTTGTCGGAGGGTTATTATTGTCCACGAAGTTTCGCAATTGGAAAAGTTCCTCTCTGCTATATTGTATGGCAGAGTAGGTGCGGTCGGCTAGCATGTTGCGAACCATGTTAAAAGTAAAACGGCAAAAGTAAAAGAAATATGTACAAAATACGAAAATGGGCAAAGTTGGAGAGGAGCACATAGACGATGCGGCCATCTTCACCGGCGCATCACGCATTATCACCGGCGCATCACGCATTATGTAGAGTGGAAGCTTACCTAAGCTTACCTAATACTGTCCGTACTGTAAAAATGAGGACCACTATCTCAGTCAGTGTACAGCAGTAACCAAGCTGAACAAAGAACAGCTGACAGCATGGATAAGAACCAATAAGAGGTGTTGGCGCTGTGCACAGCCGCACCAGGCAGCGCAGTGCAACTTAAGGAGAAAGACTCAGCACCAACCTCGCAGAATCATGGCATGAGGGCCACGACTGAGGTACTGTACCTGGACAGACCCGCTGAAGGCAGTCAAGTCCTTCTGAAAGTCGTCAAAGTTCGCATCCATTATAAGGATCGATTCATCAACACCTATGCCATACTAGATGACGGTTCGGAGAGAACTATGCTGCTGCCAGAGGCTGTAGAGAAGTTAGGTGTGCAAGGGACCCCAGAGGACTTGCCACTACGCACAGTCAGACAGGATGTGCAGACCCTTCGCGGTGCATCAGTCTCCTTCTCCATTTCCTCTCCTGCTAAGCCGAAGACCAGGTTCAAGATTACAGGTGCTTTCACTACTGCTCACATTGGACTAGCAGATCATACCTACCCTATGGAGCAACTCCGGGAGAAGTATGTGTAGGATGCAGCATTGGTTTTTATTAATGTATAAAGCCATTTTAGGTAAGCTTCCACTCTACATATGTGCCAGATTTGCTCCAGTTTGTGACTCTTACAACCTCAGATCCAGTGCCTGGATACGGTTCCAGGTACCTGCTGTGCGGACTGAGGCTGGAAAAAGGAGTCTTTTTTATTATGGTCTTGGAATGACCTTCAATCACGCCTAAAACTGAGGGCACTTGTCTCAATAGCATGTTTTAAATTGAAGTTGTCTGAAGTCCTTACCACCAGCTGCTCTTGCAGTAATAAGTAGTGTACCTTTCTTACTGTCCTAATGTGCACAATTTAGTGACTGCTTTTTCGTCTTTTGTTTTCTTAGTTATGTTCTCTGTATTTTATATGTTTGTGTAAATGTGTTATGTGTAACGTTGCTGCCTTCTTGGCCAGGTCAGCATTGAAAATTAGATTTTATCTCAATGCTTTTATCTGGTTAAATAAAGGTTAAATAAAATAAATAAACAAATAAGCACCTCATTGGCCTTCCCATGCGGACCCTCACAAATGCGAAGCCTCTGCTTCTCCTTGGAAGTGACCACCCACATCTCGTCACCCCCATTGAACCAGTCAGGTTAGGCCCAAAAGGAGGACCGGCTGCCATTCACACGAGGCTAGGCTGGACGCTGCAAGGCCCAGCCAGTGTTGTCTATCATCTCGCACAACCACAGCAGTGCCTTTTCACATCAGTATCACCACAAGTGAGCGAGCTGATGAAGCATGTCGAGATGTTGTGGCAGGTCGACACTCTTCCTTTCAGAAGCGAAAAACTAGTCACACGTTCGAGGGAGGACCAAGAGGCCATCGGTATCCTGGAGACCAAAACCATCAGAGTACAGGTTAACGACATACTCCGTTATGCCACCCCGCTGCTACACCGGAAAGACATCCCACTCCTTCAAGCTATTAAAGAAGCCGTGATGCACCATCTACGGAGTATAGAAAGGAGATTGGCCAAGAACCCTATGCAGGCTGAAGCCGACAAAGTGGAGATGGAAAAGCTGATCAAGGCAGGCTCTGTCATCAAGTGTGACCCTGAAGTACCAGTAGAGGAAGGTCGTGAGTCGTGGTACATTCCTCACTACATGGTAAGCCATAATGGCAAGAACAGACTGGTGTTCAACTGCTCATTTCAGTATCGAGGGCAAAATCTCAATGACTATCTGTTGCCTCGGCCGACCTTAGGAGCATCTCTCCTGGGAGTCCTGCTACGCTTCCGAGAGCATGCAGTAGCAATCAGTGGAGATATCAAGGGCATGTTCCACCAGGTTCGACTCCTCCCAGAAGATCGAGACCTGCTCAGATTTGTTTGGCGAGACAGCAGTCAAGATCCTCCTGCGGTGTACGAGTGGCAAGTGTTACCTTTTGGAACGACGTGTAGCCCCTGCTGTGCTACGTTTGCCCTTCAGCGCCACGTCATTGACCATAGTCAGCCAGATGAAGAGGTGAGGAGCTCAGTCGAGAAGTGCTTTTATGTAGACAACTGCCGACAGAGCATCCCCACCATTGCTGAGGCGAGGCACCTGGTCGACAAGTTACAAGCCACCCTAGCATCTGGAGGCTACGAGCTGCGTCAATGGGCCAGCAATCAACCAGAGGTCATCAGTCACCTACCAGAAGAGAGTCGCTCTACCAGTGTCGAGCTATGGCTGGCTCAGAACAAGACAGATGTCCCAGAATCCACTCTAGGACTGAGCTGGCTCTTCCAAAAGGATATCCTGGGCTACAAGCATCGTCCCGTGGATTATGGTGAAATCACGATGCGCAACATCTACAAAGTGCTGGCAAGTCAGTACGACCCCCTAGGGTTCATCTTACCCTACACAACCAGGGCAAAAACACTCGTCAGGCACCTATGGGATAAACATCGTGGATGGGATGACCCGCTGCTACCTCAAGAGCTTCTACCGCAGTGGAAAATCTGGGAGGAAGAACTACAAGTCCTGCCTCATGTCAACCTGCCCCGGCCATACCTACCAAAGGAAGTAGACATCTCCGCTCTACAGAGAGAGGTGCACATATTCTGTGACGCCTCGGAAGTTGGCGGTTCGGGTGAGGATATTCGCTTTTCTGGTGAATGCTGGTTGAGCTCCAGATCGCTCTCGTTTGAGCTCACCAAGCATCTAATAATAATAATAATAATAGCTTGGATTTATATAGCGCCTTTCATGAGACCCAAGGTTTACAAAGAAGAACAGGGTCTTGAGGGCCCTTTTGAAGGCGTCAAGCGTGGGGATGTTGCGGATCTCCACAGGGAGAGCGTTCCAGAGGGTGGGGGCTGCCACACTGAAGGCTCTGTCTCCGAAGGTTCGCAGTTTGGTGCGGGGGGTGGTAAGCAGGCCAGAGTCTGAAGACCGCAGGTTCCGGGGTGGGGCATGTGGGTGAAGGATGTCCGATAGGTACTGGGGGGCACGGGCATGGAGGGACTTGTAGGAGGACTTTGTATGTTATGCAGGACTTGACCGGCAACCAGTGGAGGTGGATGAGGGTGGGAGTGATGTGCTGCCATGGCTTTGTATGTGTGATACCCTAGCAGCACAGTTTTGAACATACTGGAGCCTGACCAGGGTTTTGTTGGGAACCCCAAACAGGACACCATTGCAGTAGTCCAAGCGGGAGGTGACAAACGCATGGACTAGGGTTTCGGCAACCGACTCCGAGAGTGACGGTCGGAGTCTGGCAATGTTCCTTAGATGGAAAAAGGCCGATTTGGTCACAGACTTGATGTGGGAGTGGAAGGAAAGGGTGGAGTCGAGGATGACACCCAGGTTGCGGGCTTCAGGAGATGGGGAGATGGAGAAGCTCTCAACCTCGAGGATGAAGTCACCAACCTTCCGGAGCAGCGCCTTAGGTGCCACAACCATGAGCTCTTTTTTCCTGCTGTTTAGTTTGAGATATTTGGACGACATCCATGCTCTGATGTGATGCAGGCAGTTGATGAGAGACTGAGGGGGGAGCTGGGAGGATGGAGTAGTGCTGAGATATAGTTGGGTATCATCAGCGTAACAGTGGAAATTGAGTCCATGATGTCGGATGATCTGGCCGAGGGGGAGCATGTAAATGGTGAACAGGAGGGGGCCAAGCACAGAGCCCTGGGGTACACCGTGGTGGACTGGGGCCGGGGGTGAATTTGAGCCATTGATGGAGACAAACTGTTTCCTGTTATGGAGGTAGGATGTGAACCAGGACAGCGCTGTGCCAGTGACACCTAGGAGGTCTGAGAGGCGGGTGAGGAGGTTGTTGTGAGAGATGGTGTCAAACGCTGCAGAGAGGTCCAGGAGGATGAGAATGCTGAGGCGGCCAGAGTCAGCAGCAATGAGGAGATCATTGGTAATCTTGATGAGGGCGGTCTCAGTACTGTGTTGCTGTCTGAAGCCGGATTGGAAGGGCTCATAGAGCTCATGGTTGGACATGTACAGATGGAGTTGGCCAGCGACCACTCTTTCCAGAGTTTTGCTTAGGAAGGGAAGATTGGAGATCGGCCGGTGGTTCTGGAGGTCGTCGGGGTCCAGGCCAGGTTTTTTGAGTATGGGGGTGACTGAGGCCATTTTGAAGCTGGTGGGGACTATAACAGGAGCCAGAGAAGCGTTGATGATGACCACCATGTAGGGACAGAGGGTGGGTAGGCAGTCCCTGACCAGGGCTGTGGGCATGGGGTCCAGGGAGCAGGTGGAGGTCTTGGCCGAGCAGACCAGTTTGGCCACTTGGAGAGCATCCAGAGAGGAGAAGTAGGAGAGGTTGGAGTGGGAGAGGCGCGGCCCTGGGGCTGCGTTACCAGGTGGCTGAGGTGCAGGTAGGGGGGAGGGCCAGGCGCCAGGAGCTGCTGATGGATGGCCTCGACTTTTGCCTGGAAGAAGTCGAGGAATTTGGAGCACAGATCGGGAGCCCCTGAGGGCTGGGGGGCGTCAGGGGGGCGGAGAAGGCGGTTGATGGTGGAGAACAGTGTTCTGGGGTTGCTTTGCTGGGCACCGATGAGACGGGAGTAGTAGTGAGTCTTGGCGTGGGAGGGAGCTTCCTTATAAGTTTTGACATGGTCACGAAAGGCCAGGAGGTGGACCGTGAAGCCAGTTTTTTTGGAGAGCCTCTCCAGCTGGCGACCAGAGGCCTTCAAGCGGCGGAGTTAGGAGGTGAACCAGGGGGCAGGGCGGGTGAAGGAAACAGTCCGGGTTTTGATGGGGGCGAGAGAGTTAAGACTGAGGGATAGGGCAGTGTTGTAGTGGGCTACCAGGCCATCCACGGTGGAGTCGGAGGGAGCCAAGGCCATGTGGGTAGCTATCAGGTCGGATAAAGCCGGTGCACTCACAGTCTTGATGTTCCTAAACATAATGTTGCGTTTAGGATGCTGCCTGGGCAGGGAGACCGGAACAGTGAAGAGGATGGCGTAATGGTCAGATACAGTCAGGTCGGGGCGCTGTAGGTTGGGGGGCGGAGAGCCGGTAGAGCACACCAGGTCCAGCGTGTGGCCTTTGGTGTGGGTGGAGCCCTGGACATGTTGCTTGATGCCGAAGCAGTCCAGAAGTGAGAGGAATTTAGCAGCAAATGTGCAGTTACTGGAGTCCACGTGAATGTTAAAATCACCGAGCAGGAGAGTTGATGGAGACATGGAGCAGAGAGAGGTGAGTAACTCAGACAGCTTAGACAGGAAGGTAGTGGAAGCTTTAGGTGGGCGGTAAATGAGGGCAACCTGGAGTGGAGCAGACCCAGCCAGTTTGAAGACAACACACTAAAATGAGGTGGTAGTAGGTACTGGGAGTTCTTTAACCAGGATGCCAGCTCGGTGGATAATAGCCAATCCACCACCATGACCCAGGGAGCGGGGCTTCTGGATGTACAGATAGCCTGGGGGTGTGGCTTGATTGAGTGTCACAAAGTCCTGCTGATTTTGCCATGTCTCTGTTAAGCATAGGATGTCAATGCTTCTGTCAGTGATAATGTCGTGGATGAGTAGTGCTTTATTGTTGAGGGAGCGGGTATTCAGCAGCATAAACGTCACATGGTTGTTCATAGATGCTGGGGGGAACAAGGAGGGAGAAACCAGCACACTGTCAGCACCTCAGGTAGATAGAGCGAACGGAAGGTTTGGTCGGATGACGTCGTTTCTTGTGATGACGACATCGCTGTGCGACAGACCGTCTGTCGGAAACACCTGCGGGGATAGGAGTTTCGGAGTAGAACAACTTGCATCTGGATTCCCGGTGTATGTAGCGTGGACGACGCAGAAGCCCAAGGGTTTTTATAACTGCGAGGCAGTCAGGGATAGTGTGGCAGAAAAGGTTTAGAAGTTCCAGCGGGGAGTATTGGAGGAGCATCATGAGAAGAACGGCGAGCCAGCTAGCAGCTAGCACCATTAGCCTGGTAGAAACCGGACCTCGAACCTCAGCAGTGGTGATGGAAAACAGCCCAGTTGGGATGGCAGGACTGAGGGAGGGTTCGTGGATAGTCCTGTGAGTGTGGCAGAGAGGAGCCCAGTCGGAGAATTCCGGAACGGGGATTCCACGGGTAGCAGAGCACGACGGTGAGCTCGTTTTGCTAATGGCAGGACGGCAGAGGCTAGGAGCTAAACAGCAGCCAAACATAATCGGCTGAGCAACAGAGATGGCAGAAACACAAAACCAGGGCAGAACAATCTTTTCGCTTTGTCTGGGAATTAAATAGATTGACGGCAGGGAGTGGTAGACATGAGAAGTAAGCATCGGCATGAAGAGCGGCGAAAAACACGCCAGCGTCCTCTCGGTAGCGTCGGCCTCTTCTGCCAATTTGGCACTGGACTCTGGCTTCTCTTTATCACCACCCATTCTGTTCCAGTTCAACGCCTATTGCTACTAGCTTCTTCTTTGAGCTTCCTGAAGCTGTGATGGTTCTTCTTCCTTCAAGCTTCAGTTTGAGCCAGGGCTAGCCAACCACTTCATCAGTGTGTAAGCTTATTCTGGTTAGGCTTAAGGCCCTGACACACCAGGCCGAAATCGGCCATTTTCGTTAGTCGGACGACGAAGCGTGCCCTGTCGCCCAAACTCAACACGCCTTATTTGGCCTTTCATGGCCGATTCAACATCGGCCACAGGCAGTCGGACAAAGACATCACTCTGATTGGCTGTTCAGCTAGCGAAACAGTACATGAGAAGCGAAACGGTTGCTTGAGAATGTCTTCCACAAGCAACACTCCAATGGCTGATAGCTCCAGTACCGCACAAAACACGTTTTCGATGGACGAGAGTGAAATTGGAACGCACACACTATTTGTTGTTTGTTTAGATCACGCAGTCTGTTCTTCTTCTCGGTCTTCCGGTTGTTGCCTCTTTTGAATGACGAATACACACTACCGCCGCCTGCTGGTAAGGAGAGTTATTGCCACTCACGCATGCGCAGTTCGTACGTGCTCGGCTGAAGTCTTTGCGGTGTGTTCCAGTGTGACACATGGCCAAGACGCAGGAGAACACGACGACGCAACAGTCGGCGTCAGCGAGTTCTCTGGTGACTGCTTGGTGTGTCAGGGACTTTAGGCTTCAGCTCAGTTGCTTCAGTCAGATAGTCTAGCTAGCCTAGCTTCAGGAGGATAGCTCAGTTGCTTCAGTCTGGTAGCCTAGCTTAGCCTGCCCAGCTAGCCTAGCTTGCTAGCTTCAGGAAGCTAGCTTGGTAGCTTCAGGTAGCCTAGCTAGCACTTGTTAGCACTCTGCTGCTAGCTAGCATGCATCAGGCACCTGGAGCATTCCCAATATTTTTCTTGCTGGTTGTTTTGTCATTTGTTTTCTTATCCCACGCCACAGGGCTTCTTTTCTTCCAGGTGCGCAACGGTTGATAACTGTTCAGTTTTACTCCCACCGAAAGGGTTGGACAACACGGGGCATGACTACTGGCTTAGTGTAGAATTGATGTTTTATTCAATGTGCTTTTCTCCATTCAAAGTAGCACATGGTATCACAAAGTTAGGTTATCAACCTAAAAAAAAACACATGATACACAAATTACTTAAAGCATACACAACAAAAGTCTGTCACCATAAACACATATTTAAACAAAAACACTCACCGGCTGCCCGTGTGCCCTGTGGCTGATCAAAACATGAGTGACAAACATTTCGCTGGCCTTTTCAAGATGGCTGGCTGTCCCTCATCAAATGAGTCCTAAGGGAAACAAAATACTGGAAACAAGGTTCCCTCCCAACTGAGACCTATTTAACATGACAACTTGCACAACTGAACAAGTAGCATAATGCTTATTGATTAAATAAATAGAAAATAAATGAATAAACAACCAAAATAAAAAAAAATAATAAACACACAGACACACCCAATTCATAGAAGGCCATTTTCAGCTTGAAGAATGAAAGAGCCTGCAGTCAGTGGGTAACATCACTGATCTGTTGTGATTCCCCAGTGAGAGAAACACCTCCCTGTGTTTAATACAGAACTGCTGAACCAGCAGACTCCTTACTGACCTGAGGGTCTCCAGTCTGCAGTCTGAACTCTCCAGAAGATCTCTCAGCAGAACCACATCTGAATCCTGCAGATCGTTGTGACTCAGGTTCAGCTCTCTCAGATGGGAGGGGTTGGACTTCAGAGCTGAGACCAGAGCAGAACAGCTGATCTCTGACAACCTGCAGTTCCACAGACTGAATAAAGAAAACATGATGAGGATAAAAATCAGTTTATAATCCAGTCAGATGTTCAGGTTTGAAATGTGTAGCTCAACATTACTGCGTCCTAATCAATGATCTTTTCCCTGAATTAGAGTGACTGTCATTCTGTTATTGTGGATCATCATTATATCAGCCTTCTGTTTATTATCTGTGAAAACACGTCTAAATGATGGGAACATAAACATTTCTCTGTCAAAAACTAAACTTTATGTAAAACTAATATTAGTTCAGAGGACCTTCTTTATGCAGACCATTTACTAAAAAAAACATGCATTTACTTTAACAAATAACAGTTGAAGAATAATAGTTTCTTTAGGAAACAATCAACTGTTACGACAACATTTACAAACGTATGGATGTAATATATGTATGATGAAGAATTAGGTTGAATAACTAATGAAACAATGAGATCTCCAGCAGTAACAGAGAGTCAGTGAACTGACCTGAGAGTCTCCAGTCTGCAGTCTGGACTCTCCAGAAGATCTCTCAGCAGCTTCACTCCTGAATCCTTCAGATCGTTGTTACTCAGGTCAAGCTTTCTCAGATGGGAGGGGTTGGACTTCAGAGCTGAGATCAGAGCAGCACAGCTGATCTTTGACAAACTGCAGCCACTCAGTCTGAATAAAGAAAACATGATGTAACTTTAGAAAACAATGTTTCTGTTTGAAATAACTCCAGGTTTAATTATCTGTTCAGAGCTGAAGAAGTTTAGAAAGTGGAAACTCCAAACAGGTTAAAAACTGTAAGACAGAACAAGTGAAATTGAGCTGATAGTCCGTGTTTTTTTTTTTCAATAGTTTTACTTGTTGAACCAGTAAACAGAGAGGAGACTGCAGGCTCTTTAGTTTCTGCTCTTAGTCTTACTAAATGATCAAATTATCTTTAGGGAGAGGGAAGGGACTCTCAGAAGATAATGAAGAACTAAAGCCCTCGCTCAATAACGTGTGGGGGAGGCTTTATAAAGAATGACATCATCAAGGCATGTATATTAATATTTCAGTGAGAAATGTCAGCCTACATAACCATGAGGCGCTGTCTGTAGTGAAGTCTGTGCTGAAGCGTTCCTCTGAATCTGCTGTGGCTCGTTTGAAAGGAAATCCAACCACTGTTAATAACCTATGGCCAGCCAGATTCAGCAGGAGAGTCAGTAAACGTCCGGTCAGAAGAGCGCTGTAGTGCTGTCTCTGCTGTATAACTACTCTATGTGACAGTGTAAGACAGACGATAAACACTTCATATTCATAAAGTACTGCCAGTTACATATATTCAAACGTTCACACCAAACCAACCAGACTTGTATGGACAGTTAGTTCCTGAAGTTAAATCATGCTCCATCTGTTTTATTATTTTTACTCTGAGCGCAGCCGTGTTGCATTCTGGGAGCTTGTTCATCACAGCAGTGGATTTAAGCAGCAGAAAGCCGGCACGTGTACAGCCTCTAACGCGATCTGCAAACATCGCACCGGTGCTCGAGCGGCACTTTGATAAATACATATTGATCTCAGCACAGAAGTTAAAGATGTAGAACTGACCTGAGAGCCTCCAGTCTGCAGTCTGGACTCTCCAGAAGATCTCTCAGCAGCTTCATTCCTGAATCCAGCAGCTTGTTCTCACTCAGGTCCAGAACTCTCAGATGGGAGGGGTTGGACTTCAGAGCTGAGGCCAGAGCAGAGCAGCTGATCTCTGACAAACTGCAGTACCTCAGTCTGAATAATGAAAACATGATGTAACTTTAGAAAACAATGTTCCTGTTTGAAATAACTCCAGGTTTAATAATCTGTTCAGAGTTAAACAGGCTTTTAATGTCAGCGATGATGTAGAAACAATCCATTGACAATCTGGAACTTTTACTTTGATCAGATCTTTAACAACTCCTTCATCTCCCTCACAACTCATCAGTACTGACAGCATCTCCACTGACTCATGGAGCACAGTGTGAGTCTGTGGAAGCTCAAACTCTCTCCCTCACACATTCACCTTCTCTTTGATATTCTGATAAATATTCAGTCATTAGCAAAAGTGAGAAGAATTATTAAAATGTATTTGTTCTCAGGTAAATTCAGAAAATGATAAATATAAACAGATCTGTATGAACTGCAGTCAGTGAACTGACCTGAGAGTCTCCAGTCTGCAGTTTGGACTCTTTAGTCCAGAACTCAGCAGCTTCACTCGTGAATCCTTCAGCTTGTTCTCACTCAGGTTCAGATCTCTCAGATGGGAGGGGTCAGACTTCAGAGCTGAGGCCACAACTTCACATTCAGTCTCTGAGAGTCCACAGTCTGTAAGTCTATAATAACACATATATTACAACATATGTTAAAAAAAGAGGAAACATATTAACCTCAAGCATTTGATGAACAAATATTTGACATATGTTCTGATAGACATTTGCTGTTAGTCCATTTAATATTATATATAATAATATATAATAATAGAGTTGACTGTGTTGTCAGTGTGATCTGATCACATGTCTGTGCTCCTGCTGTCAGTGACTGTTACCAAAGAAACATCAATTAAATAAATCACTTGGCAATATTACAGATGTACATATTTAAATGTTCATTCATATTTGGATGTGATGGATGAAGGATGTTTTGGCTTCTCTGAGCATCTGGAAATGTATTGCAAACAGAAACACAATTAACAAACCAATAAAGTTTAAATACTTTCAACTTAAAACCATCAGATGTTCCCAGTATATCAGCATTAAGACATAACTCTGTTATTGTTGGGAAATGATATAGACCTTATTTTAAACTCTAATACATTGGTCTCCAACCTTTTTTAGGATGAGAGCTACTTTCAAAAAATAAGTCGTGAGCTACTTTTGCTCCTCTTTTTTTTTTGTTGCAGTGTATATATTTAGCACATTTTAACACAGTGGTTCTCAACTGGTTAGGCCTCGGGACTCACTTTTTACTTGGTCAATACATCGCGACCCAACATTTTGAAGCACTCAAATCTATTCAACAAAAAATCGTGCTGTAATATCTACGCTTTTGAGCATACAATATTAATTAAAGTGAAGTAGAGTGCATATATCCCTTAAATCCCTTCACAGAACTAAAGTATGCTTTTAAAAAAGGTTTAATGAGATGATGGAATCAAAGCTGAACTATATAAAAAGGCACACATGCTGAAAACCCAACCCCAGCAGGGGGGTCTGTGGGGATTCTCCCCCAGGAGATTTTTAGAAATACTAACATAAACTACGCATTCTGGTACACTCTGAGAAGAAAATAAATAAATCTATACCCGACATATTAATAATATTTTATGCCATTGTTTGTTTTTCACTTTGTTCTGACTGCGAGAAGAGTAAAGAGGAGAGAGTCTGTGTGACTTACTTTAAATTGTGGGTAAGGGTAGATAGCTCCCGTTGTTCTGTGACCTGTCAATCATCAAACCGGGGGTCATATTTCATTATGTGTTCATTTTTATCTGAAGTTGTACCCATGGATGTATAAAGAAGAGTTCTACCGCAAAGTTATTCTCCGTGGGGACTTCCGGCAACAATCTTGATTCTGATTGGCCAGAAGACTCGAAAAAACATCAGCAAAGATATTTTATTGAGAAGATGATCGTGACAGAAGTTTTCAAAACCGTTTATGGTCTCCGGTACTTCCAGTCCAACGCCGACTGCATGCACAGCGTTAGAAAATCGGGCCTTCAAAATAAAAGTTTGACTTTTTTCCCAAAAAAAAAAAAAAAAAATCCAATTTTTTTTTTTCAACTTTTTTTTCTTCACTCACACATCCGCGACCCACTCGAAACGGGTCCGCGACCCACTTTTGGGTCGCGACCCACCAGTTGAGAACCACTGTTTTAACATATATGTTATATGCTGACCTTTAACCTTTGTGTGCTGTTTGGGTCTGTGGGACCCGTTTTTAGTGTGTACTAAAATATTTTTTTTGCAATTTCATTATTTTAACGTGCTTTATTTGGGGGTGGACCTCACCTCCTCTAGGGGGGGACCTCACCTCCTCTAGGGGGGTCCGGGGGCATGCACCCCCGGGAAACTTTTTCTTTTAAAAGTCCACTGGGGACATTTCCCCCCTGTCCCCAGTGGAAATTACGCCATGCGTGTGTGTGCGTCAAGTGCAATACATATATATGCAAGTTGCAACACACACACAGTAAAACTCTGCCCCTCATGTGCTGTATAAGCTGGCATGAATAGGCTGTGCTCAATGGGGCTGATGTGTTGTAGATTCTGCCAGAAGGAAAGGTCAAACTCCTAAGCGGTGAGCTCCACATTGCTTTTCTTCCCGACTGCAAGAACGTGATTGGTCGATATTCATTGTGGGGGGTGGAGGGAGGAGGGGTGTTAGATAGATATAGAGTTGTAGTAGAGTTCGCTATGATTGAGGTTTCGTTTATGCATAGGGTAGATTCTTTTAATTATATTTCCTTTTTTTTGTGTGTATTTTTTACATTTTGGATTTGCTTGGAGAGCTACTTATTGAGGGCTTGCGAGCAACGTGTTGGAGACCCCTGCTCTAATACATTGTGATAAAAACGTGTGTGTGTGTTTAATGATAAAGAAACTACTAGAAAGTAATAATAACATATTTCTCTGATAACTGTAAGTCCTGCTGTGTGGTGTGATCACATGCTGAGAAACCTCTAAAGTCTGTCATGTGTTTGACATGTCGCCTCCATCACTCAATATGAAGAGAGAAATGGTACCATTTAACCGTTTTTATAAATAAATAGAAAACAGTGTTGGTTTTATTTTGCTCTCACAATATTTGAAAGCAGAAATGTTAAATTGTTTATTTGAATAATTAAATTTCTGATCCACATTAGTTTATAAAGTTAATCACTTCTGGACTTACACAGCCTTCCTGCAGTTCCTCACAGCTGGAATCAGTCTCCATCGTCCCTCATCCCAAAATAAATATATTTTGAATGCGTTTAACCTGTTAAGCCCGAGAGACCCCGGTACCGGGGCACTGCCGCAACATCTTGCAGGAAACAGTGTCTGAGGGCATGTTCATTTAAAAAACTATGAATGTTTTATATCCATGTAACGGGAAGAAACTCATCTAACTGATCTTTTTTTTTTTTTTTCAAAAGAAAACCCACAATGCTAACACTGAGCCTCTGAATTAGCAACGAGCGAAAGATGCTAACACCTTACTGCACCGAATATCACTCACAAAACCTTATTATGTATCTCTTCTCTACATCCATGACATCGTTTCACATTGTGAGGTGACACAGAATCGATGGACACCCACATTATCACTGAATTATACGAAATTGCGACGTTATAAGCAAAAACGGACATCAAAACAGGTGACGCTAGGTAGCTAAAAATGCTAACATTTTTACCTTGGCTCTGTAGTCTCTCCAAAGTGGTCTTCAATGGCATTAAAACAATAAAAACGCTGCTGAAGTTAATCCATAGGTTAATCCAATGTGTCTGTGTCCCTTTGAAATGATTTCTGATAATCCATAAGCATTAAAACTGCTTTTCCGTTTCCAGATGTCAAAGCTAGAGATAGGTTCACTCTGATGCTAAATTACATGCGCGAAGCCCCCACCTCTTCTCTTCACAATGAGTGTGTGTGGGGGACTCCCCCTTCGATTCTATTGGCTCTAACGGTCAGAAAGAGGTGTCAACCATCAACATCGAGCAAGGGAAGCCAGAGATATGGAAAATCCACCCAAATGACCCCAGAAGTGGTTTATTTTGGCTAAATCTCTCTAAAAAGGTCAAATGTCACTTGTTTTGCATCAATCTTGATACAGGGTACTTATTATATGTTGTACCTTGGATTCCTAAAGCGTTTAGTCTACCTTACCATCATCCAAGGGTAGTTTTCACTATAAGTAAAAAATCATTTTTGGACAGACACTATAATTTACAGTTCTTTACTATGTAAAATCTGAATTTTCTTTAAAATAAAAAACATCTATATTGATTCTGATTTTTCTACATCCAACTCACAGGTTTATCATTACTTTGAGAAAAAAGATTATTAATTTAACCCTTTTAGAAGGGAAGATATGGTCATTTGTTCTGGGAATATCATTTTCGAGCCTGAGACCTGAAAAACAGGCTAAGGGCTTAACAGGTTAAATAATGTTTGGTCATGTTATAGCATTACCTGTATGCAGATCCAATGTTGTGTTCAGGTGAGAAGGATTCAGGAGCCTGGAACAAACAAAGTTATTTATTTATTATTTGAAAAATGCAAATTAGTCTGGATCACCTGAGTTCATTGTCAATTTCAAAACGGTCAAAACACAGTATTACCAGCCAATCACAGCACAGTATTACCAGCCAATCACAGCACAGTATTTCCATCCAATCACAGCACAGTATACCAGCCAATCACAGCACAGTATTACCAGCCAATCACAGCGCAGTATTACCAGCCAATCACAGTACAGTATTACCAGCCAATCAAAGAACAGAAGTAGGAATATTTCCCATTTCGTCGGGGATCCAGATATTTTAAATGGCATCGTCATATACATTTATTGAATCAACTTGGTGATATGTAATCCTCTAAGGCACACCTCCCATTAAAAAAAAGAAACAAATTAAATAGAAATATTCATAACTCATAATCGAATACCTGAATCATTTTGATCAATTGCGAGCGTTATAGCGTTTAATTTGACAGCCCTAATAATTATATTTGAATTCAGTGGTGAAATAAATACACATCACTCTGTGCAACTGCTCCTC